TTGATAATAAACCGGAACCCACTATGTATGGGGGACGCTAGTGTGAACATTCTAAATCTAAACCCTGAGTAATTAAGTTTCCAACAGCAAATCCCACAGAAGAAACAGAATCAAACAAACAAAGAAACAACGCCGAATGAATTTTATTTGACTACTACGGTTCCCAACCGTTTTCTCTGGTCCAAAACCAAATGGGTTCTTTTCCAGAGCAATGATAATTGTGACAACCCTTATGCGTTACGTCTCAGGATTGTATTTAAAACTTTGAATGCTAGAACACATCTATGGGTTCCTAGTGGACCAGACAAGACATTCAGTTATATATCTTTTTGGCAAATTATCAAGTCGAATAATTGCTTCAGGCACCACCAGGAGTGAACATTCAGATTTCACATAAATGTTTACCCGTCTTCAAAAACGCAGAAATATTACAACGAAAAACGAAATAAAGCACAGAATTACTAAGTAGTAATCAGTTGTGCTATTTCAAATCCTGTGTTAGGTCTGACAGCGTAGAAGCTGGATTGTGTGAACGACTTGCCAGATGAGGAATGGTAGAATTGCTGTATGTCGCTGGTGCGCGCATGAAGGTTTTTGTAATAGGAACGTATGTTAAGCTGATACTTTGTTATAGGAATGAGGAAACGTTTAAAAGAAAATTGACTGATATTTCCTCATCTCAGTGGTCTGAATATTTATTTGTTATCCCCTTTTTCCGTGAAATCCATTTTTTATAAATCAGTGCAGTCAACTATTTAATACCATCTTTCCTACTGTAAATGGCCGTTCCGGCACGCTTGTCTAAAAGCTTTAGGACTTTCAGCAAGTTTTGTAAATTTACAAAAATAACACCGAACATGCAAGATTGGTACGGCAAATCCCCTTTTCAAATAGCACTCCAGGCTCTGAAAAACAGTTTCGTTGGTAATATTAGACATTCAGGTTGCTTATGAATCTACGAATGCACCTGTCTAGGAGAAGGCATTGTGGAACATTTCAACTCTCCTTTGTCTGGATCAATCCTCAATACGCGCTTCTCGACGGATTCTCATCTTTGGAATATTGGTTTCTACCAGCAGATTCTATTTCATCCGGTTGTACACGAACGACGGAAATCCGACTAGATACTTTATTTTGAATAATTATCACGTGGTATACAATTTCCGTTAAGGATGATGTCTCCACAGCTACGGACAAAAGAAAAACCGAATGCTTTCAATAACGATAGCCGTAGCATGTGTAAACTTAATATAGAGAGGAATGACATTTATCTGACATGAAAACAAACTGAAGATCAACCATTACGCGGAGATTTATGATTGGAGATGATTATAGTCGGCCCAACAACGTCTCTAGAAAATGTGTTGGTAATTCCTTATGTTAGCTATCTGAATATTTATTTTTTATCCCTTTTCTTGGTATGCTCCCGTTTTTTTCTAATTCAGTGCAGTCATCTACTTAAAATCATCTTGCCTGCTGTAAATGATCGTTCCGGCACGCTTGTCTAAACGTTTTAGGACATTTAGCATGTTTTATTAATTTGCAACGTTAATATCTCTTTAGATTCTGGTCACTTCATATCGAATACGCAAGATGGGTACGGCAAACCTCCTATTTAAATAGCACTGCAGGCTCTGAAAAACAGTTTCGTTGGTAATACAAGACATTCAAGTTGTTCATGAATCTACGAATGCACCTGTCTAGCTCGATGGATTTATGAAAAGAATGAATCCCTCTATCTATACGAATTGATTCAGGCAAATGAATAATCACTTGTATCTGCTTATTTATTACACAGAAATGTGCAATATTCGTGGAAAGGGAAGGCTTTTAGTCAACAGCTACGGACATAGTAAGGGACTGGTGGTGACTGGAATTTAGTCCGAAACTTCGAGGTTGAAATTGCAGGATGATGCATGTTCTACCACCGTGATCGCGAAAACTCTTTCTCCCTATTCCGTTTTTTTCTGAACCCGAAGGAAGTTACTTTCGTAAAGACCTACAATGTAAACCAGCAAAGGTTGATTTCAAACAAATATATTGGTTTTATCAGATGGGATCGGAAATTGAGAGCCATTTGGGGATCAATATACAAGTCGTCTGAATTCATCTGGCTGTCTGAGATATCTCTTCAGTGCTTTCATCAGAGCCCTCATATATTCGGTTGCAATTTTACCACATGAACAGCCTCTGCCTACTACATATCAGTAGCGTGAAATTCTTCGTTTGTTTTGCTTAAACCGTTCTCGCCTGAAATACTTCAATGAGTGAAATTCAGGGGAATGCTTCACTCAAACTTATTGTCCACTAAGTCCAATACACCACTGAGTTTTTTCCTTCCTATTGTGCTTCACATAATTTGTCTTCTAATAGAAAATCACAGTATTCAGTGAAAACTGTCACCATTGTTTAACCAGAAGATTTCGCCTGCAATAGGCATTTGTTGGATGAGGAAATAAATAATCTAACTCGTTCATTTCGTCTTGCGGTCATCAACCCCGAAATTCCGTGCTCTGGTTTCGGTATATACTTGCCACCCTGAATTCCAAGGTTGCATGATGATACAAGTTTTCCGCAGAACATCGTGATTGACTGACTTTTGGAAAGACCATTTATACTACTGTAGTGAGATGGCGATGAATGTCGATCACTGGTGTCCACAAAATGCCTCAATCACTCAACCAAACAGACCCCACATTTTACTCGGTCCCGTTACCAGGGTTGTCAAAAATGTAATATGCCAATTGCGCTTTTCTTTCGTGGTGTTTGTACGTACACGACCTGTGAAGACGAGAAGAATAAACCTAGCGAGAAGTAATACTTACCCCGATAGAGATGGGCGTGGCCATATCTGTTTGGGGTTGTTACAGCTAATTCTTGTCTTATTCGTGTAGGTACAACCAAACACAGAAGTAATTCCTGATTCATGTTCTTTACGACCACTGTTTAATCCAAGTCATTCTATGAAGAAGCGGATAGCCTTTGGTGGTGTTGTTTGTTGGGCAAGTGGGTTATCATGGTTGAAGTAGTCCATTGATGCATTTGTCAAATTGTGCGCATGAGTTCTTCCTCATTGTTTTACATCACTTAAAATTGTGATCATTACTACAGTGGTTCGTATTCCACTTCGTCATGGAGTCTTGTCCAATATGTTTTGCTTGGGGATGTTGGAAGAGATCGGGTATCAAGAAACTTCACTGTTTATCAACCAACAAACTCCCATATAGCGTCGTTCAAACGAAATTTGGTATCTTATTAGCAGTGATCATGCCAGTTCAATCCTGTTCAAGAAACAAACACTTTTCTGAGGTGAGTGAGACCTTGTATTTCGTTTACTTGATCCTTACCCGATTTCTTACATCTGAATCCATGGCTTGCACTGAAGATAATTGATTCCGCCGGAGTTTTGCAGGTAAAATCCGATGTGGTTGCGAGATGAGGGCCACGGATCTGAAAAATACATGCTAGTTGCAGGTTAACCCTTAACGTGAACCATAGTCATCAACATGGTTAATCTTTAGTGAGCAAATAAATGATACGCTGTAAATTATAATGGTCCTCCAGTAGGTGTTTCCAAAGCAAAGGTATGCTCGTTACAGTAGTAATGGTCAAAAGTTGAATCATAATGAGCCTGATAATTTTCAGATACCGAGGGGTTTCACTGAATTGACTAGAATAACTAAAACTATGCTGTATGGTAATCAAAGCCAAACTAATGCCTGGATGATGACAGTAGCTATCGGTTTTGATTATATTAGGTCCGATAATATTCCAGGGGCTTGAGCACTGCACTATGAAACACTCTGTTGGAGTTTCGGTAAAAGGAGTTATGAAGATGAAAAAAGACGCGGCCCACCTAAAATGCTTGACGAGCTCATAAAATATAAGGTTAGGGATGACTTTGACTGAAACTGAATATCGAATAAGAAATTCATGAAATTTATAGTATTCCATCAGCTGTATTTGCCTTCACAAGCATTATCAATTTTTTAAAGGGAAATATTGAATGGGTGAAATACAAAAGAACTGTGTCTGCATGAATTTCTGCTCAGTATTTCTTTTCATACTGTATATATATAAAGTCAAAATCGGATGCTTAGCTTAGGTAGATTCTTGGTGACAAGGAGTTACCAGGGACTTTTGATTACATTTCTATGAAGTATGAATTGCAGGTCCAGTTTCAGTGGACATGTTTACATATGAACAGTATACATAATTTATCATACGTGAATATGTTTCAAAGCTGTTCGATTTCTCTCATAGATTACTGAACATTAGTAAATGTAATTTCTTGTTTTTCAAATAATGATGATTACTTAATTAGACAATAAGTGAATGGTATCAGTAACGTTTTTTTATTTATTGATAATTTCTTACTCAGTTTGTAAATTATAATAAAACGCTACCTGTCAAAACGGAGAAAGATTCAACTAATTCAACTCATGTAATTCTCGTATTTGCTTGAAGTAGTTTTATTGTCCATGTTCATGACAGTTCATCACACGGTTCGACTACTTTCGGAGAATTCCTCCACTCATGTTATTGACGTCAGGTATTTTCTGCTTTCCATTCTGTAAACAAAGGGTGCAGGAGCACTGATTCCAAATGATTATTCAGACACGTTTTCGATGGAATGTTGAACGTGCTTCCAACCAGGTCAGTTTGCGCACCATGATTCGTCTGATATTCTGCTATTCTGGTAGGCGTAAACCGATAACATCTGTTACAGCAGTGGATAGACTAGTCGGTTCGTGTGTCTCTACTGTTAAATGGTAGGCGTTAATGGACAACAGCCGTTGCAACAGTTGACAGATTAGTCGGCTGGTGTGTCTGTACTGTTAAATTGAATTATGGTGCTTATAAGAAGGGTACCAAGTGCATACACAAGGTAGTCTGTGCCGTCTGAACACTGCGAGTTTTCTCTCGTGGGTCAGGAATTTTATTCTACTATGAGATCTTCATTTGGTGTATGGCTTATCGTTTACCTTGAATATTTGCGCATGACGAAGTATGCAGAGGCCATATGTGAGTATGAATTCATTATTGATTCTTACTTCTAATCCGTGTCGAACACCAAATGACTTCTCCATTTTTATGTTGTTACAGACACCTTGAAAGGTCATATACTGGGTGAGGTTATCCTACGAGTAGCCATATTTTACCATTAATTTTCTGTCAATCTTTTTATTATCAAAATGACCCACCCATCCCGTCCTCTCAGGTACCTGACAATATCGTAAAATCTGTTTTCTCTTCCAATACGACCCAGAATATGAAATGGATTATTTCATACCCAATTGCGGATCTGTAAACCTTCCTTTAAACGAAATCATTACCTTGATGAAAACCACGTCCATCTGTGAAGTGGTAAGTGAGAAATGTTTTGCTTGTATTGTGATAATGCGAGTAACTCAGTCTTTATAGCCATCATATCAACGAAGTTTCACATTTCAGATTACCGAGGCTATTTGGAAAATGGACTGGCACTGGATGATCGGTTATATTGGATGTCAAGTGGAATTTCAAGTGAACTGGAATGGAACAATCAAAGTATTTTTCTTCCTTAAAGAAATGGGCACGGATTTTCGTGAACAATGTTTATCTGCTTCGGCAACAAAGTTCAATCAGTTGATTCAAGAGCAATTCAAGTTATTTGGCACGCGATTCTCGGAAGTTATCATAACCAAAAGTAACGAAGCCCAAAATGAGATCATGTTTTTCGTTGATCCAAGTGACCCAGTTAATGTGATATACCAAACTGGGTGTAAGTTGTTCGTCCAAATGCTTGACTAAATGTCATGAATGTGGTAGCCATAAATAGTATACTGCGCAAAATTTTTGAGAATAAGGTGGTAGGATTGCAATTGCACTGAAATTGCAATAGGCTATGCAAATTGAAAAATAGAATTAGGAAGGTATATTACTCATTATTGTTTTATCCTCAGGAGCTGCAATAAAACGCGATGCAGTAGGTAAGTATCTGCCCACTGTGTGCTCCGGTGTCTTCGGTTACGTACCTTCATAATAAACTTGTAAAATCTTTCTCTTACCTGACAAGACTATAAAACCATAGGGTCTTCATAATGTACATTCCAACAAAGAATTGATAATCAGACCAGATATCTCTGACATAGTTCATAATTGTAGTAGATGACTATTATTTTGAGTACATGGTTTATTGGACATATCCAAACTGATTACCAGTTTATAGACAGGCCTTTACGTATACACTTTCCGTATGGAAGGAAGTATTGCAGTACACAGCGATAAAAAAATGTCTTTTAAGAAACAAATAATATTGAAGGTGAGAAAACGTTTGTTTACAATCTGACTAAAAACGTTTTACAGCTAGTTTTTTAATTGAGAACTCAATGTTGTGCATTCGTTCAACATTAATATCTTAAGTATCAAGCGACAGTTTCATTACATTTCGTTTGCTCTTTTAGAGAATGATCAACAGTGATTCTCATTCGACGGAGTGGTTTTTGGTATCAATCATACTGTGAACAGATTCGAAAGATCTTTTATTGGAAACATGGTTTGCAAGAAGCAGTTTGCTATTCAGAACATATTTCACTAGAAATGAGTTGCTCGTTTTTCGAACATTATTAAGAGTTTATTGTGCTTTGTTAGTAGTAACCGACGGGTACTTATGAAAACTATATTCGGTGCACACAATTAGGAAGAAGTTGCTGAATGCGTGACGATGGACTGAATCTGAAATCAGCAAGCACAAAGAGCTTAGGAAAAATCTTCTGTACCTCAGTCACTGGTTTACCGTTTTCTTCCAATTATATCAATACACTGCAGATGGAACGGTGTTCTAGGAACGAGCAAAATAAAAAAATGCCCCATAGTCGGCTGTTCATATACTGGTTTTGGGGTTTCGAAGGACGCAATGTTTATGTGAACATATGGGTGAACGAATCCAAGGGAAGAAATACAGAAAAAAATGTACAGGACCTTTTCACGGAATGTGCTGGCGAACTTGAGCATACTAGACCCACCGGTGAGTAAAACGTGTTCGTACAATGAAGTAAATTTGTTAGCTCTCATGACTTTCATGAATAGAGACATCGACAGAAAATGGCATGTGCATATAATGACACCATTTCTGGTGAAAAGCAATATTATGCCAGAAAATTGTGGCAGTTTATGTATCAGGACAATCAAGAGCACAATAAGGATTCGTTATATTTTCAGCGAAATTAGTGAAGAGCGTGGTTTTATTATTTTTGGATGTGAGATTACCTGCCAAGTAGTGGAAAGTGTGAATAACGCCATACACACGATGTTCTTTGGGGAAATTACCCGACGAATTCGAAAAAGAAAGCAATCCTGCTAGCGTTTCCCCTCGTATTTTACAATACATAATCAAATAAGTGTGCTATTTTAAAAGTCCCCGTACAAGGAGAAAAAATATATGATATTTCGACACAAATCGATCTCAAAAAGCATTTACCAAATAGTCAATGAATTCATGTTCTGTCTTTGTTTGCTTGCAAATTACCGTTATCCAAAAAAATAACGAGAATTATTCAACATCATGTGTACACTTTATTCTGCACAATCGTTTAGAGATAGATGAAAGGCATCTGCTGCAAATTCAGTGTCAGTCAAGTGACCTAGGTGAGCAAATGTGATATCGTATGATCACCAATTTCCCATTTAAAATTCATAACGCGTTATTCAATTGTTTCTACATCTGACTCCAGCTTTGCTTTAGCAGATAGCAAAACCAGTCAAAGAGCGACTGAAATTTTAAAAAATCAGGGTACGTCTTGTTAGAATTTTGGTAATAATGGTTGTTGAATTACTCGTAATTCCCCAAATTATGTGATACAGTCTGATCGTTCTGAAGATAGAAAAATGTACAATGTGCTCAACAACAATAGTCAACGCAACTAAATACTTTGAACTTCTTCTTCAACTTAGATGGAGAAATTAGAATTCCCTGCTCCAATGAAGATAATCAAACCACCCTAATACCTAACAACCCCGAAGAGGGTGAGTCAGCTTGATAAACATACTTGGACTCATCTCTTTTACATAGTTCATCGGCCAACATGGGAAGTTGATGTTCGGTCTCAACAGATGTTTTATTGCAAAATATTCGTTGAACTCCTGGTTTTCTCATCTCTAACGAATATGGCATGTTTATTTCACTGGATTACACTATTATTTTTCTGCATTTTAGTAACGCTTTTGCAAACGACAGTCTCGGATAGCACGATAACAGAAAACAAGGGTTCCACATGGAGCGATTTGATTTCACTCTGTACGATTCTTCCATCACTTTCCTTATTCTTTCAATGATTTTCTTCGGTTTATCCAAAGCTGAATACATTCTTCAATATAGAACCAAATGAGTTACAAATCTCAACCTTAGTATTCACATTTACCCATATTAACGGAACTAATACAATTGGCGGGTAGCTTTGAAAACCCTTGTTATTTTACCCTGTTGGTTGTCGACATCCGTTTTGGAGATGTAGCTGGCAGTTTTGTATGTAACACCGACCCCTCAACGAATGCGGTGCATTTCTTGGGTGAGAGAGAGGTTGCGGAAATCGTTGAAATTTGTGGGGCTGAAACGTGATTAACAGCAAAGGCTGTGTGAAGGTAGGAAGACAGAAAAAAGTGGTGCACCTTAAGTTGACGGTCCGGGGAAAATAGAAGTTTGAAAGTCTGAATTATAACACCTCCTGTCAGACATTTTTTAGGAATGACTAATTACCCTTCTACTTGATGATCGGGAAAATGTTCTGGGGAGAAGAACTGCCAAAGCGAGCTCAGACTAACAACTCCAAAGCAATACCAGTATAAGAGGGAAAACGTAGAGCCACCCGAGAATCGGTTAGCGACTGCAAACTCTAAGTTAAAGAAGGGTCGTTGATCAGCCGGATGGCTTTTCGTTTAACCCGATCAAGATAAGCAAGTGGGGTGGGAGACAAAGCACCACCCCACACGTGACTGCGATATTCAAGTGCAGGATAGATTTGAGCTTCGTGCAACAGAAGGTAAGTTGGTGTGAGGAAGTTTCTGTCGCGAAACATAAATCAGCTCCGCGCGAAGCATGAGAAACAAACTGAAATATTAAGGCGGTCCAAGAGAAAGGAAATATTTTAGACAAGCTAAGAAGAGGGATAGAATCCATGGAATGCAGTAGAGTTTATTCAAAGTATGAATGAGATGAGAACGAATGATCCTGCAAACAAATTTCGGGAAGAGAGATTCGGAAGCAATGAATGCAACTTTGGAGCCCCAGGATGAAATTGGACTGCGGTTACGATTAATGTTGCTGTTATCATGGAGAAAAGTGAGAGGAGGTGTCATCGATAAAGGAATGGATTGAGTTAGAAGTGGTGAATAGATGGCCAATAATAAATATTAGACCTAAAATGGGTTCAAGTACCGAACCTTGGAGAACGCTAGCATTCACAGAGAACGGCTGAGACAGAACCCCATCAACAGGGATGGAGATGGTTCACCTAATGAGGAAACTTGATGTTCACGACACGCGAGTGGAGGAGGATTTGAACGTGGCCAGTTTCGCCAGACGGCCTTCGCGTCGAAATCAGTCGGAGGTTTAAGGGATGTCAAGGGAGGCCATGTGGGTTTCTCCGTCGTTGTCAATTGTAGTCGACCAGATGTGTAAGACGACAACAAGGACATCACCAGTGGAACGGTGTGGTCGGAACGTAAAGTGGCAAATACTCACTAGTCTTCTGCGATTTAGGGAAGTACTCAATTGTTCGAAAATAATAGTTCCGAATACTTTTGGGAATATGAAGACGAAGGCTTGTTTTCAGGGGATCGGAAAAGTAGAATGTTGGAGGGTGAGACAGATAAGACGATGTAGGAGAAGAGGCCGATTCAGGGCACACATTTGTGTAGCGTCCGGACCTGGGTGGTTGGAATACATCCATAGAAAACAGCTCTTGGCCGAACTTGCTAGTGCTAATCAGATAGAAAACGGGGAAACGGGGTGGGGAAAGTAGGAACCGGAGGAGTAGGAAAGGAAGCTAAATATTAAAGAAAACACCTCTGCTTGCTGGAGTGATTCAACAAGAAGATCAGAGGATTTACCTGTGGGAGGGAAATTGGGAGGGGGAAATGCGAGGGATTGCTTGGTCAAGGGACCAGAATGCTCGGCTACCAGTGGCAGATGCGAATAAATGATCGGCTCTCAAGCGGACGAATCATTCTTCATCCTTGTGTACGGTTGACGGGCATCTAATCCTGGCTTGCAGAAAGCGATTTTGGGAGTCGGGAAGTGACGAGCTGCCCCGGCTGAGAAATGTTGTACGGTCCAAATGTGCAACACGATCAGAAGAATAGCTAATGTAGGGCTTGGAAAAACGAGGAAAATAAAAACATATCTTGAAGAAATTTAAAACATTGGGTCCCTTTTATCCAACTCATGAGAACAGAGAGAAGACGTAAGTCGTGAGATGCAAGTATTTCGTTTACTCTTGTCAACCGTGGACGTAAAACGTGTCAGTATATATACATGGTACAGTAGGGGGGGTAAGTACAACAGTTAAGTAGGCACGATCGAAAGCTGCTACAGTACGTACGTTGGGGACAGTGAAGTCTGTCGTGGTAACGCCAAAGTAAACAAACATTTTGGGTAAATCGTTTTTTTGCAGAGAGTGCTGGCTGATGCATCATGATTAGAATAGCTTCACTGAATGCTAATAGTTTCGGTGTTGGATTGCTCAACAATACTTTGAAACACTGGGTCAGGTCAACTTTGTGACCTGATGCAATCAAGTGTCTTCCAATCGAAGAAGCTGGCGGTTTCACGTCGTTGTGTATTGCCCCAGCAGGTTGCGTCATCAAGTTTGACAGCCATTTGGGTATGTGTTCTGACACTCGTTGAGTCAAGCAACGATCCGTCCTGCCATTGTGTGCGTCACCGCAACTGCAAGTGAACTGATAGACAATATGTGGGACATTGGGATCAGCAAGACTGTTTGAGTGATTTTGGAAAACATTGCCTTTTGGTCGTCTGCAGCAAACGCAACTGCGCCGCTGTGTATGTGTGCCTTAGAGCTGACTTGAGATTACAATTTATTCGATTGAACAACTGATCTCCTTTAAAAGGCAAAGTGATAAAAACTTGCTTCTTTTCCACGTTCATTGTTTTCTCGCGCACAAGTCTCGGCCTCTGATGTTTTCTGATAAAGTTCTCCGGATAACCGTTAGCCAGCAGCGTTCTTTTCATGAACTCCTGTTCGTTCTGTATTTGATCTTCTGTACAGATTGTCTGGGTTCTGTTGAAGAGGGTTCTGACCAAGCCACGTTTGTAAGCCACTGAGGCGAAGCTGGACAATTGTAAATAACGTTCACCCCACGTTGCTTTTCGGTGGATTCTGCGCTGTAAAGTCCCATCTTGACGCCTGGTCAATAGAATATCTAGAAAGGACAATCTGTTGTCGCGTTCTTCTTCGTGAGATACACTGAGGTTCGGGTGAATAGAGTCAAGAACGTTAACAAAAGAGATAAAACATTCAGACAGTACATGTAACTTGAAGAACAATTTCATGCAGGTTAGAAAATGAAGCGGAAATATCTGAATCAAAGCAGCAACCATCCAAAGGATGGGGAGCTAGGAGACCGTAAAAACTGTCTAATTGGCAAATCTGCAGCTTCAAAATGTGTTTCTCGAGGTTTGTGGAGGATCGGGCTAATGAAATTGGTGGAACAGGAAATGATACGGCGGTCAGATGAGTCAGTTGGGGGGAAGTGCTGAGATGTCTGAGAAAGAAGAAGGAACAGAAGTGCAAGTAAGATCACCGATTTAGGTAAGATAAGGGGCTAGATCCAGGATACAAATGGAGGGGGTCAAAAAGTTAGCACAGGTCCGTCTTCGCGCCCCACAATCGAAGTGTCTGATGAGTGAATGAACCAATCCCGATTGTAATCAATAAAATCTCCTGAAATGGGTGTATGGTAGATGCCGTGCGTAAGAAACAATAACCCGATGTTCGAAAATAGGGAATCAAACATCAATGAGTCCCTACTGTTGGGTTATTGATAAACAGCACAACGGTGATTAAAACATCAGCTGAAATTCACGACTGGAGAAATCAAAAGTTTGGATTCCGGATTTGGTGATTGGCTGGTGGACGAAAATACAGACCCGAGCTATCGGTGAAAAAAGTAGTGCAAGTAATATTTGGGGATATTGGAGGTGGTTGGTGTGTGACGAGTGTAAGATTTGAGTTTCGGTCAAAAATAGGGCAAGAAGGAAGAAAGGTTGGAGAAATATATGTACATAAGCGATGTTATTGCCTATTTGACGAACGCCACTTAGGGTGATGCGTTCATGCTTGTATTTTTTGAGTGAGCAGAGCGAGCAAGCGAACGATTACGTGTACGATTTTGTATTTTCATGATTCATAACTTGAAGGAAACTGTCATCCCTGATTCTGTGACTGAAAATGACGAACCACATAAGATCTCAGCAGATCAGGCGTGGAAGTGATTGGAGCAACAGCAGTGCTGTTTACCGCTTCTATTCATGCAAAGCTCCTCATATGCAGTTAACAGCTATTGAATTCCTCATCATTATCAATGGCTTACGAACCTGTGAAATTGAGGGCTTCGCGATTAAGACAAAGCGTACTCAACAGTTCAATTATAAGAGCTACTTACCCGGTTAAAATTGTCGAACACGGTCTGGAGCATGTGATAATTATATCAGACCGCTATGAAAGTGCGTTGTGTTACGTTTATTCTCAGAAGCGAATTTTCTAAATGAACACGCATTTCGGAGGAGCGTAGAAGGAGTGCTTATTTATTCGTGTAGTCTCATTCAACCTTCTGTTTTATCGAATAACTTTCGAGGCAAATGTTTCTAGTCACAAACGATCGATATTATGTTCGCGAGATTTTTACAGTCAACGTTGATGTACTATGTCACGTGTCTGATCTGCATCACTTTTATCATAGGGTTGGAATAATAATATACGATAGCCGCCTATTTTTCTGATGACACTCACCTGTGAAATGT